GTTAGAAGGTAAAAAAGTATTTTCAGTTGTAGATTTAAAAGATGGATTTTGGCATGTACCACTAGATGAAGCTAGTTCTGAACTATGTACATTTAATACTCCTTATGGAAGATATAAATTTAATAAAATGCCATTTGGAATATCCTCCGCCCCAGAAATATTTCAGAAAAGAAACCAAAAATTATTTGGTGATATTGAGGGTGTGGAAGTTTATTTTGATGATATCATAATTGCAGGATCTGATGAGGTTACTCATGATATAATTATCTCTAAGGTTCTTGAAAGAGCTAGGTCTCTAAATATAAAATTTAATCCTGATAAATTACAATATAGGGTACCGGAAGTCAAATATGTAGGCCAAATTATTTCTGAGTCAGGTGTAAAAGCCGATCCTAGTCATATTAAAGCAATTATTGATATGCCAACACCAAAATCAAAAACTGAAGTAAGGAGGTTGTTAGGAATGTTAAATTTTCTGTCAAAATTCATACCTAATGTATCTAAAGTTACTGCTCCTTTAAGAGAAATCATTCAAGAAAAGGTAGAATTTAATTGGGGAGAAACTCAGGAAGAGTCATTTAACAACATCAAACAACTGCTAACCAAAGCTCCAATTTTAAAAGTTTTCAGTGGTAATGAAGATATAATTATACAGTGTGATAGTTCGAAGGATGGCCTAGGATCGTGTCTAATTCAAAAGGGTAAGCCTGTATCATTTGTGTCTCGCAGCCTGACTAACAGTGAAAAAAACTATGCACAGATCGAAAAAGAGCTATTGGCCATAGTATTTTCTTTTGAAAAGTACCACAATTTTGTTTATGGACGGAAAGTCACAGTGCAAAGTGATCGTAAACTGTTAATGGCAATTGTTAAGAAACCATTGCATAAAATTTCGTCTAGAATGCAAAGGATGATCTTAAAACTACTAAAATATGATTTTGAGATAAATTATGTTCCAGGTAATCAAATGCTTTTTGCTGACACTTTGTCACGTGCATATCCTGTGAAGGAAACTATTAGTGATGATCCTGAAATGCTAAATGTTGTTCACATTATTTCAAAATATTTGCCTATGAGTGAAAGAAGAGTGGTGCAATTTAGGAAAGAAACTGAATCAGATCCAGATTTGCAAATAGTTATGAAATGTATTAAAGAGGGTTGGCCTAAATGTTACAAAAAAGTAGATAGTAGTGTAAAAAACATACTTTAAAGTTAAAAATGATCTTTATATTAATGACGACTTGTTATTTATTAATGAAAAATTAGTTGTACCTTATGGTTTGAGAAAAGATATGTTGCAATTAATTCATGAAGCGCACTTTGGAATTGAGAAATGTAAAAGTAGAGCCCGTGAAATTTTTTACTGGCCAGGTATGACAAATGACATTGAGCAGCTTGTTTCCAAATGTGAAATATGTGAAAAATTCAGAAATAGAAATCAAAAAGAACCTCTAATGCAACATGAAATTCCAACTAAACCATTCGAAAAAATTGCCCTTGATATCTTGCAATTTGGTAATCAAAATTACTTAGTAGTTATCGATTATTACTCTAAATGGATTGAGGTTTCTAACATAAAAGATAAGACAGCAAATGAAATTATGATAAAGTTAAAATGCATCTTTGCCAGGTATGGTATTGCAAATGAAGTCGTTTGCGACAATAATCCCTGTAATAGCTACTTATTTAAGAAATTTGCTGAAGATTGGGATTTCGAACTTAAATTTAGTAGCCCCAGATATCCTCAAAGTAATGGGTTGGCTGAAAAAGCTGTAGGAATAGTGAAAAATATCATGAGGAAAAGTGCAAGATATAAGTGTAGGCTTAATGGAATATCGAAATACCCCAATTAGTGGAATAAATTTGTCTCCTGCACAACTGTTACTTAATAGAAGATTAAGGACAAAATTACCTATCAGTAATAAATTGTTAAATACTAAGATAAACAAACCTTATTCTAAATTTCGTGCACTTCAAGCTAGGCAAAAATATTATTATGATAGAACCGCACAGAAACTGCCTGAGTTAAAACCTGGAGATAGTATAACCTTGTTCAACTTTAGAACTGGGCAATGGGATAAAGGTGAAATAATTTCAAAACATAAAGCTCCTAGATCCTATATTGTAAGAAATTCAAATGGGGAAATATTACGAAGAAACAGACGCCATATAAAATTTTCAAAATCACCTTACAAAGTTAATAATGATTATGATGATATAGTATTAGATAAAGAGGAAAATTCAAATGGAAGCCCTGAGAATGTTTCTGTGCCTGTTAATATAGGAAATCAACAGAATAATCTATCCAATAGTACAATAACAAGAAGTGGACGGTTGATTAGACAACCTTCAAGATATAGAGACTTTGTCATGGAATAAAATAATGTAACATATTGCATATATCATTTTTATGTAACTTTTTTGTTATTGTATGTCATATTGTAAATATACTTGTATTGATATTATTTGGTATTTTTATTATTGTTTATAAACTGGAGGAAGGGATGTGATGTATATTTAAAATAACTATAACTTAATGGCGCTCATGCTATGCGATTCCGTTGTTGTGATGCACGTGTTACTGTGCTAGCTGAATGTCATGTGAACTGTTTAAAAATGTAATAATAAAAGTTTTGAATTCTTGAGATATACTCATTAGTTGAGTCTTCTTTTAAAGTACAGAGATTAATTTAACAAAAGACAGCTGATAAAAAAGGTTACAGGACTAAATGTTTTACTAATTAATTTCTATAATAAAAAAGAACCAAAAAATAAAGGAGTTTGCTCAATTGATATATGAATGTAAAAAACCCTTCTTTGTATGAGATTGGAACTTTTTCAAAGCTGTATAAGCATTTATTTTATTTAACGTTTTTAACGTAAGCTTATTGCCTTCTTATTTATTCAACTAATTGATGACTTTGTAAATTGGCAAAAATTGTGTGCTCATACGGCTGATAAGTGATACTACTACTACTGAGAACATATAGTGAATTTGAGTTTCAGAAAGCAGCGCCTCCTTTTATTCTGTATCACGTGAAGAACATCAGTAAAACAAAAAGACGAAAGTAAAAGTCAGGTAGCGGCCATCAGTCGACGAAAAAGGTGAATATCTGGTCCAAATCAGTGAACTGAAGAATCTAGTATAAGTAAAAAATGTTAAGGAGGGAGAATGTCAGATGGATATTTGCGCTTTTCTGTGGGAAATGAAGAACATCTAAGTTGGTGTAGTTATTAAGATGAGTGAGAACTGAATAGAAGAAATTTCTGGCAAGTTTTTGAATATAATCTTGAATTGTTTCTACTTTCAGATCACGGTGGATATAAGAATTTGGAATGAACCATGGTGCGTTGATGATCTCTCTGAGTGCTTTGTTTTGAAGAACTTGGACGTGTTGAAAGTGAGTTTTGGCAGCGTGGTCCCAGACAGGACTAGCATAGAGTAATGCTGGTCAAAGTATAGATTTATATAAGAGGAGTTTATTAGAAATGGACATATGACTTCTTCTGCCAAGAAGTGGGCACATAGTTGCAAGCGCGATATTGAGTTTTTTCACAGTTTCCCTGAGATGTTTCTGAAAAGTCAGTTTTTTTTTTATCAAGAATGACTCCTAGATATTTAACTTCGTCAACCCAGTCAATTTCTTCATCAAACAGAAGAGGTCTAGTTGGAGTGAAATTTGTTTGACCTTTGCGAAAAATTATTGCTAATGATTTTTCGGTATTAACTGCAATCCTCCAAAGAGTGAGTCAATTTTTTAGATGATTGAGGTAATGTTGGAGAAGGAGTTGGAAGAAACAGAACTGCCGATTAGCTCATAAGTAATGTTCTGGTCCTTAATAATATAATCTCCTTGGCGCCTATTCCTCACATGATATTTACTTCCAATGGCATAATGAAATCTCGCCCATATCGTTAAAGGAACCAAGTTGGCGCAACCAAGGCTGTTCTCCGAACAATATCCCACACTTGTACTACCATGGTTCGCCTGTCGAACTACTATTTTAAGTTTAAACTTTTTTATGTAATTTATCTCATTCCAGAAATTGATGAACTGACAAATTCTATCCTGACAATAATGCCGAATGCTTACTGGAAGCCAATTTTCGGCCAAAATTGCTGTTTGCCGAAACAGAACTTTTGCACTCAGTGCATACGTGTCGCTATCTGGTGGAAATATTAAGATTCAAAAAAAGATTTTCTAATGGAACTACTGTAATATATGGTAATACAGTCCTCCGGGTTGAAGACTACCTATTGAAGTAGATTTTAAGAATACAAAATTGAGCAGAAGCAAAAATGTGGTGTTCTTATAGAATTGCCTGCTAATATGCTATACAGTAAGATTACGGGCTGAATTCAGGAATCAGATGAGGAGTAGTGTCGTAAGCAGTACTTAGATGATGTTAACTAACTCCTCCGAAACAATTTCTAAGATGTTGTTTAAGATTAGGAAATTAAGTCTATACAGAATGTTATCTATTTATATGAGAATAATAGATGGACAGATGTAGCTCGTGAATTTAAGTTTGCCTGGTAACGTTAACAAGAAGTGTAATGAAGCATGAAAGTAAAGGGGTCCATAAATTGAGAATATCATTTGAAGAATAGAAGTGTTTACGTATGAAAAGTAGTCGATATTTATTAGAAGTAAGCTTTAAGGAAGACGAAGAGACACACAGTTGTAGTTATAATGCTGTCTTTGACAATTTACAACATGCAGAAAAGTTTCACTGCATGTATCGACAATTTATGGGACTGTACTGGAATCAGGCTCATAATAGTATAATGCTTACAACTATTATACACACATATATATATTATTACTTTAACTCTGTAGTATTATACACTTTATACAGCTGTCAGCAATTATTGTTATTTACATTGTGAGACCAGTCACGGGTCTCAGATATCAGCTAGATTCATCCTATTCAAATTTTTGACTACTACTGGCTCTTCTTTTTCTATACACTTTAGAGCAATTTGGCAACAACGATATTGTCGGAATATAAGTTGATTGTGATGCTAAAGGAAACCTAAAAGTGGGTGATAGGCAATGCAGCGAAATGTCTGAAAACTTTAAAAAATTTTATTCTTTCTACAAAACCGCAGACTATTCAGAACGAAATGTTGCAGAAGATGTCGCATATACGCCGCATGAGTCGTATAGCTATGATAGGGATACCTATAGTAGCTGGGAACTGGGTCGTAAAAATGAGGTATATATATGAACACAAACACACACAAATTATTTTATGTTAAGATTTATTATTATTATTGTCCTTTTACTTAGAATTTGGGTGTGTTAAAGTTTTGATTTTGCGTTTAATTTAATTTTTTTCCTGTGTATTTTTTTGTGTCCATATTGAGAGAGAATCAGTTTTTGTGTCATTTCATAACATATTTATAGCACTTTTCATTGTACTTTTATAATTCTTTATCAACATTTTTGTATTAATTTTTTATTGAATTCTTGCACTCTTTTTTTTTTTTTTTAAATCTTTACAGGCCGATAAATTAAAAATAACGATTGGTCTTAATTTTAGATAAAAAGGCCTTTTCATATTGATAAACTTTCATACGTTTCTTTTTTTGAAGAGCAGAATTGTTTTGTTTATTCAGGTTGTCTGTTCTTGATGTTGTTAATGACACTAAAAGCAAAAATAAAATGAAGAAAGAAATAAAGCTGTAATGGAAAATTAAAACGTGTGCAGGTTAGAAGTAGCTATAAATTGCCTTAAACAGACTTAAGTAGAACGGTAAGCGTAAACTAAAACTAACTACAAAATTTTCTTTCGGTTAACAGCATTAATAATTTTTTTTTTTTTTTTTTTTTTTTTTGAAGAAAAGGGAGTTTTTTTTTAAGAAAAGGTTTTTTTTAAGAAAGGAAGTCAGTGAGATAATGAATTTTGTTATTTAATTGATACTCTGTAGCCGTGAAGGAATCACTTTAGAAATCTTTTATTTGGAACAACAAAGGATAATAAAATAATTGAAATTTATGATATGCAATTAATATGTAATAAAATGTATAAAGTCATTTACTTCAGTTATATCTTGTTGAAAACGGAATAAAAGACTATAGGAATTATCTCTTGTTATTGATCACAGCAGAAGTGTCTTTTTTCAACTATCTTGGAAAGCACAATTTTTTTTTTTTTTTTTTTTTTGGATTTGCTCAAGAATGATTTCATTTAAACTGTATTTATCAAGTATATCTTATAATTATGTATTTTATTCTTTGTAATTTTTCATTTATTAAGATTGTATTCAGCTGATTAAGGTAACCGACCTTGTTCGAAGGGCATTTTTAAAAATGTTTGTTATATTTTTGAATTTATGTGATTTTTAGTCAGTTGTACTCAAACTTAAATATAATTACTGCAAAAGTGATAAAAAATCATTATTTTGAGAAATTAATGCAGAAAACTGAAAATTTTAGTTCAAAATTAATAAAAACAACCATCACTGAGAAGGAAATATTGATGATAAAAATATATTTTTGGCTTTATTTTATACATACTACCTAGAAGAATACATTGGACTACAATAATTTCAAAATATTGATTTACTAGCAATATATGGCCAAATATGTCAGTTAATACTAAAAAAATTTAAAAAGGTACTTTTCCATTTCGCTGGCGCAAATCTCGCCAAACAGACTTTATTGGTGCGACAACATACAATATACACATAAAAAAATTTTAAGAAATGTTTAACAAATATTAAAAATTCTGAGAATTTTTTAATTTTGAAGGCAATAAACATTTTAATAGTCATTTAAAATTTTGTAAAAGGACAATAAACAAAGACAATAACTTTGTAAAAAGACATTAAGAATTTACTATGCTTTCATGGTTCAACATCCTGATTCGCCGGTTTGTATCACGTGACCCCAAGAGATCTCATCTCGCGTAAACTGCTCTACAAAAATCTAATTCTCTCAGTAATTATCTTCATTAATTTCAAGTTAAATCTTATTTTGGAATACAAGTTTAAATGCAAGAATTGTTTCAATTCGTTAGAATTGCTCAGAAATTATGTAAAACCGCAGTGCTTTATTTTGCTGGTGCATTCCATTAGAATTGATGAATTTAACCCTTGACTTTGCCTTTACTTTATTTTCCTTTTCAGGTGAGTGGTGTGATTGCTTTCTAATTGACTTAATTACAGTGAATGTTCTTAGGCCATAAAATTGAACTATCTGGTAAAAATTCTATGTAATTTTATGCCAGTATTGAAAAACAATCTGTACAACTTTGATGTACCCCCCCGAAAAAAAAATTACGCTCCAAATCTGGCACTCCCTACGGACTTTTTAGGTTGCTGTTTCTTATTTTGGTGTTGCCAATTTAGGTTTTTTCAGCTTTAAAGTTTTTGCTGTTGCCAAATTTAGTATTTTCTTATATTTTGTACCATTTTTTGAGGTTTTTTTTTTAAAGTTTTGTGGCAACAATTTTTGGATTTCATATATGTTTTACCGCCATTTCTTTGTGAAGAGATCAAGTGGATTTCTGACTTGCTGTATTTTGCTGCAAATCTGGTTGTATTTTCCAATTATATTTTTTTTCTATTAATTATTTTTATCTTTTAGCTTTCAATATGCCTACTGTATATAGTGTTGTTGAACAGTTTCAGGGAATTTTGAGTCAGAAAATTGATAGTTGTGCTTCATTTTCGTCGGGTAGGCCGACAGTTGGAAGGCCAGATATTGTTAATTGTTTATTTTTGCATCATTTGGCTCAGGATATGCAGATGTTAATTGATTTTTTGATGGAGGTTGGATTGTTGAAGGCTGCAGTGTGTAAGAAATGTAGGTCTGGTATGAAACAGAAGTTGAAGAAGTCGTATTCGGATGGATTTGTGTATTTGTCATAGGTGGTAATCAGAGCAACACTGAAATGTCAATAAGGCATAATTCTTGGTTTTCGAAGTCTAAGCTTAAGTTGTTTGAGATTTTGTTGATCACATATGAGATTTTGAGAGGCACTAAGACAGGTAGGATTGTGGAGGAGTATGGTTTCTCTAGTACTACTTTAGCAGATTGGAGGCAATTCATTAACAAGACCATTTTGAATTATATTGTGGAGAATTCTGAGAACGTATGTGGTGATGGTGTTGTTGTGGAAATAGATGAGTCGAAGTTTGGGAAAAGGAAGTACAATAGGGGTCATAGTGTTGAAGGTCAGTTGGTTTTTGGTGGTGTTGAAAGGGGATCAGGTAAGGTTTTAGTTGCTGTGCATGATAGGTCTCAGGAGACGTTGTTGTCAGTAATTAAGGAATGGATTAAGCCAGGTACGTCTGTTTATTTCTGATTGTTGGAAAAGTTATCATTGTTTGACGGATGAGGGTTTTGAGCATTTAAAGGTAAATCATTCTTTAACATTTGTAGACCCCGATTCCGGGTGTCATACAAATACAACTGAAAGTACGTGGAGGCATGTTAAAGCTTCTTTGCCTACGTACGATCGCAAGGCAGATTATAAATTTTACCTTGCAATGTACATGTTTCATAAATCATGTTTAGCGGCTAATGTTGATTGTTTCAATAAATTTATTAAAATTGCTGCTGGGGTAAATTGGGAGGAATTCAAAATTTCTGTGTAAGTAATTCTTTTTATTAGATTGCCACACGTATTTTCAATTGTATTTGTTAAAATTTTTGTGTAAATTGTATATGATATGTTATTCAGTGTCATTTATTTGTATTTTTTATGTATTCATTGTATTTTTTAGGTATTCTTTTTTTTTTTGTATTTAATGATTCCGTATTAATTATTTGTATTTAGCAAGAATCCATCTTGGCAAGAAAAAAAAAAAAAAAAAAAGGCGCCAAAAACAGGTATTTTGCTTGGCAAGGAAAAAAAGTCGCCAAATTTCCAATTTGGGAAGGGGTATATCAAAGTAGTTCCAATTGAACTATCTTGTAAAAATTCTGTATCGTTATGTGTGAGTATTGAAAGAAACAATCAATTTGATAAGAAATGGCTGCGACTTGTTTTGAAAATGAGGCGTAAAAGGTTACCAGTGGGGATATTCCGTTTGGCATCAGTTGTACCATTAATGGCTACTTTATCGCCTGTGCCGGCAAAAAGGGAAAGTACCTTTAAAAAATATACACATTGAAGGAAAAATGCTGTAATTTAAATTCTATGGGGTTTTTCTAACTGCTTGTCTACATTATGTATAAAACATGTATGCAAAATTTCAAGTGATTCTATAATGAACTTTTAGAGTTATCATGGTTGTCAAGAACATAAATCATAAAAAAGTTAATAAAAAATCACGTTTAAAGTTTTCAGATTATTGTTACATGATATTATGTACAAAAATATTCACTTAAAATGCTCCTGCCTTATACATCGGCCCTTCAGTTTTTTCAAAACAATAATTTTTTTGTTTGCGAAGAGCTTTTAGTTTTTTCCTATTAATTTTGATGAATGCCTTCGAGAATCATTTATTCTTGTTACATCTAACTTCTTATACCCTTGGACTGTAAAATATCCAGGAGTCATTTTAAGCGACTCAAATATTTTAATAAGATCAGAAAATCCATCATTAAATAAAATAACACTGATATTAGCACCAGATATTAAAGTTTTTAACCCAACAAATGTGTTTTTAGGTATTATTTGCCACATAATTCCGTTGAAACTCTCGCTGGCATTCTGTGTTTTACCATGCACACATTTCTCTAACAGTTCTCTATGACAGAGTTTCACATATGTGGATTTTATGATGTTTAAAACAGTTACAGAAAGTCCTGTTGCTTTTTCTGTATATTTTTTATTTTCGGCAACAGCATGTTGATACTTGCACCAGTTGTTCACACAACGAGGACACTGACCATGCATTAATTTTTTAGAGTTTGATGCACAGTGAAAAAGTACAGCTATGACAGCTTTTTGCATATCATCTAAATTGCCAACATTTCTTCTAATCACAATTCCATAATAGTTCTGGAGCTTATCGATGAAACGATCTGTGAGCTTTCCTTTACCTTTTAATCCAGACATCGAATTCTTCAGTTTTCGCAGTGCACTCCCTACCCTTTTTCTATACATATCCAATAAACTCAATTTTTTTTACAGAGGTTAGACCGTACATATTTTTCACACTCAAAAAACCTTTCGAATCACCATCTCCATAAAATTCTACATATTTTAAATGGTGCAAAGCAACTGAGCATTCGAATATACGATATGTTCTAACAGCTTCCATTCCTGAGGGAGAACCCCTATAGTTTGAAGAACAAGTATGTTCTGCTTTACATGTTTCGTATTGTAGACCTGGTTTCATTTTCCCAATCTTCTTGCATGTGTTACAATACTGAGATAAAGTTTCAATATCTAAAACTTTGCCGGCCTGAATAGACAAAGCTCTGTAACCGTTCAATGATGAGTACCCTCTCCTTTGCCACGTTCCATCAACGGATACTCTACATTCTATTACCGCAGTTTTATTGTTACATTTAGATAACTGCTGAACTTCAGCAGCAGCATTCATCATCGAAGTATTACCCACTTCTAAAATAACATCAGATAATTTTTTTCAATCCTCTTATATGATGTATTTTCGATTGGTGATGGCAAATTTAAAGTTGCACAGAACATTTTAGCAGCAGTCAGTCCTTTCCCAATTAATCTCATTACGAATACAAACCTACAGTTTATGTTCAAAGACCTTTCAGATTTTTCTGAAGATGCAAAATTTTTGCTGAAACTACATGACTTGTAGCTTAATATAAAATAAGAACATAATCCAAAGTGAGAATTTTCAGCAAGAGATAAATTAGCAGTCAAACATTCTGGGCAGCAAAGTGACAGTATAATACTTAAAAGAATAGAAACATCAATACTACGATTACCTTTTAATTCACGAAAATCACTTTTTCATTTTCAGTATATGTTCCGGATAATTTGGCTGCACTAGCACACACAGATTTCATTGTGTATTCGGTTTCATTGTGATTACCAGAATCAGCAGTCGCAGATTTAGTGTAGCGATTACTGTAAAATTTTCGCTTTTTTGAACGATTACGTGTATATTTTGGCATTATAGACCTCAGTGAAAAAAATGAATCTTTAGCTCATAAATTAGTGCAGGAAATTTGTAGACAAAACAGAAATATTGAAAGCTCAATGTAAACAAAACAGTAAGTTTGGAACGTTGTTGCCAAATGTAAAAAGAGAAAATACATAATGAAAATACTTTGCCAGATTCTCCAAACTGATCAAAATACTTTAAATTATTTAGTTTATAAATAACATAGAAAAAAGAAGAAATTGCACCTTTAATTTGCCCTTTAAACCGTAACTTCCGGTGTGGCAGACAGTTACTTCCAGTTTGTCGTATCCCAGAAAAAAATGGTTTATCTTTACTTCTAATCAACATATCAAGAAAAGAAAAGCTGTTTCTAATAGCTAAGAAAGTGGCCTTAAAAATATTAAATAAAAAAGGGAAATTTTTTTAGTCGAAGTTGGCCTTTTGAACGAGCAACCTTAAAGAAATTTATTTAAAAAAAATTTAAATAATAGGGTAAGAATGTATAGGGGTAATAAATCTTGAGATTCTATTAAAAGCACTCATGACATTCAGAACTGTGGAAAACTAAACAAGCTTCAGAAATGCATTATAAGCATTTGTAAAATGTATAATTTCCACTGTTTCAGAAGATGATTTAAGACTTGATATGCATATACATTTTCTGATATAATTCAAATGAAATCAAAGTGCTGAATAGAATCAATAAGTTGATTTAAAAAGAAAAAAGAGTAATTGTATAATAGAATATATGATGTATGATGTTAAGTAATTCCTTTTGTGAATTTCATGTGAGTATTTATAAAACCTATTGTACAAATTGTATCGGAAATATTATTAAGGTTTTAGGATAGTATTGCATTATCTGCTCACCCATCCCGCAGAGTCTTCAACCATTAGCGACTAATTTTTCACCAACGTAGCACATGAAAAACAGTAGCCAGCTTAGAAAATGGTGATTATATGTTATATAAAACATATATATTTATAATAAAACACTCATAATTTCATGAAACAGTAACAACTTAACTAAGTTAAAAATGCAGCAAACACCCATAATAAAACATTTAACTTTTTGTTTTCACAGTTTCTGTCCATTTTAACAATAGTCAGTTTTAACTTAAAAAAACAAAGAATTTCAGAATTTAGCATTGCAGGGTAAACTAACACTGCTCTCCATACGCACATACCCCTGGTTTAAATTGGGGGGAACAATTTGGAGAATTGCATTTCTTCGAACAAAACGATTATCACAGTTACTGAAGAACTATTCATGAACTACTTTCAAGCTGCAAAATTTCTGTAATAATGCATAGCTACCAACTTTCCTGCTCTCTTGGTAGATCACCAAAATTCATGAACCTTTACTAATGAATTCCCAGCAATAAGTAATTATTCAATCAATCAAACATACATTGTTCAATTTCCATCTCCCATTCTCTCGTGATTTCCAGTATGATTTTTCTTATCGAATGTTATTTCATCTAAATTGTATTTTTTTCTTATTGCATTTTATTGATCTTATTAACCCTCTGTCCGGCCAGGGTTTTCCCTACGAAAGCACAAATTTCTCAAAACTGTTATGAGAAAAAAATGTTCTTGTTTTTAATGTAAAAATTATCCTGGTATTTTATACATGGATTTTTGTACTTTTAAAATATTGCCTTAATTTTCTTTGACATATTTTAATATGCACATATATATATACATTCTTACACATATCATAAAAAATATACTAGGCAAGGCCGTATATATACGGCCTTGCCAGTTAGAGGGTTAAATTAGCATTTGTATTTAATTTTTACTTCAATAAATGGTACATTACTAAGTTTATTCACACAATCTCTTTGTACATTAATTATTCATTTTATTTTCATCATATTTGAAAGTCATCATATTTAACTTTACTTCCTTACTCTGGATTTTCTTTGTATGAAAATATAATAAAATTACCAAGTGAAATTAGTCAAATAACATAAAATTTAGAATATCCAATTAAATGGTAAAATATTTCATATCTAAACTGAATTTCAAATCGTTCAGTAACTTGAACAGTTACTGAACGATGCATTCATTATAAAGTGCATTCATTATAAAGTGAATTGCATATATTATAATAATATCATATAATGTATAATTGTATATATTATATTTAGAATATGTGGTTAATAATGTTTTGGCACATTGGATACACAAAATAATATTGATGTTATATGCAAGCTGATTTTGTGTGAAATGTTTAACTTCCATACTTTTGTTAATTCAAGTATTTTGATTACAAGCTTGAACTATCTTCTCTTTCTTTCCCCCTCTTCTCTCCGTTTAGGTATATGAAAATCTTACAGCTGGTAGAAGCGGTCTTTCAAGTTTTCCTAACATGCCAGATTTTCCTGATATTGCAAGCCTACCATCTTCAAGTTATCACACCTCTAGTAAATCACAAAATATTAATGCTGATCTGTATGCGCAAGCATTGGCTGTAAAGTCAGACCTTGGACTGATGGATGATAATCGTCATTCTGATGCTTTGGAATCGTTGTCTGCATATGGAGCTGAAGAACCTTTTAAGAAGAGTAACTGGAAACACAGACAGTTCCGTGAACGTGAACTACAAGGTACTTCTGAGCGCACAGCAGTATTTTCCTCTAGAATGCAGCCAGTTGAAGATGACTTGTTTACTGAAACAGAAGAGCAGGGAAATACTTCAAAACTAAATGAAAATAAAAGCAGCATTAATATCACACCTTTATCAGAACTGAATTTGGCATCCATTGATGATGAAGATGAGTATTTGTATGGAGATTCAAATTCACTACCTGAAGAACCTACAAGTAAAAATGCTACTCAGCTGGAGACCTCTAAAGCAAATGCTAGCGTATGGAGTGATGATGAAAGTGCTTCTGGAAGTACATGTTTTATGAGTAAAGAGCATAATCTTACAAATAAACTTGTTTTAAACTTGAAATCTGATTTACGTGAAAAGTTAGGGAAGCCTGGAGCTTCGGAATTACGGAAACAGAAAAGTTCTGATTTGTTTTATTCAACAAAAATTGATAAGATACCAAAAAGTTATTCAGAAAAGTCAAGGGATAATACTAAGGAACAGCCATTTGTTACTGCATTGGAAACTAATTTGAAGGCATATGAACAAACTAAGAAGTATCCATCCAGTAGTGGTAAGGTTTTTAGCACTAGTAATGAATCAGACAAATTTTGTAAAGGATTAAATAGTTCTATGAAATTTTTTCCACAAGTTACTAAAAAAGAACAAGTTTTATCCAAACATTTGTTAAGTGAGAGTTCTGACGTTAAATCAAAATACCAGGTTGCAGCTGATATGCTAAAAAAACGTCTTGGTGAAAAGACGTCACTATCTCCACTTACAGAGCTCTTGTCCAAGAGAGTTTATTCTGGGGATGCAGAAAAAAGCAGGAAGCCTTTATCTGTAAGTGATACGCCCGTTGAACAGTTTGATGCATCCATTTCTCCCAGTACCAAATTTCCCAAACTACTGATCAATATTAAACAAGGAGAAAAGGCTTTAAGTAAGAGAATTGTACATGTCAAAAAGAGTCCGGATATATATTCAGGAGAGAAAGGTGATAAATTAAAAACATTAAAATCATATAGTCCTGTTGATCCTCATGTAGAAAATGAAATTTTAAAACCTCGAAGAGTTTTGAAAGGTATTTCTGATAATCGTTCACAAGAAGTATTTAATTTTCTTGAACGAAGTGTGAAAAGAAAGCAGATCTCGGAGGAAAAACTCCCTCGTGCTTATCGTGAAGATAGGTATGTTCATCATACTTCCCGTGAGGATAGTCCAAAGTATAGTTCAAGAGATAGAAAGCATAAATCTCCTGATGAAGGCTCTTCTCCAAGCAGAAGCCCTAAATCTAGATCGTTAGGTTTAAGAGGTAGGTCTCGTGATAGAAGTCCTGTACGACATCGGTATAGCCGCAGTCCTAAACGTAAGTCTCGGGATAGAAGCCCAAGATCTTTAAGATATAGAACAGAGAGAAGTCCCCGGCGCCGATCCCGTTCAAGAAGTCCAAAATATCGATCATCTTCAAGAAGTCCTAGGAGGTATTCTCGTGAAGGAAGTCCAAGAAGGTATTCTGGAGAGAGAAGTCCAAGGCATCGATCACCTGAAAACAGTTATGGGTATTCAGCGAGGGAATGGAGTCCCAGACATAGAGCTCATGATAGAAGTCCAAAACATTCATCCAGTAGGAGATCCAGAAGTCCCATTGAAAATTCTGAAAAATCAGCTGAAAATAAAAGGTCTATAAGAAGTGCTGATAATGTGAAAGATAAATTTATGAAAGATGGCAATGAACCTGCTACAAAGATAAAACCAAGTATAAGTAAAATATTGGATGCGACTAGTATCTCAAAAGTTATATCTGAAGATATTAATATTCCAACACATCTGGTAAAAGCTGAAAAGAAAAGTATACAAGAAAAAAATGTTGATGTTCTTCCAGCATCTGAAAAAGAGACACCTTTGACTAAGTCTGCACCAGGAAAAGTTCCACCTGTGCCTACATCTGAAGACGAAGATCTTACCTCCCAAACACAAAATGAGAAATATGAGAACTTTTTTAATTTTTTCAATAAAATTGTGACTCAAAAGACACTTTTGAATAATATAAGTATAGCCATTGAAGAAGCAAAGCATTCTTCAAAACCTCCAGTTCCTCAAGAAGAGAGAAGTGTAGCTTCCATATCACAGTCTGTATTACCTGGACAACCTATACCATCATTGTATTCTCAATCATATGTGCCACCTAATATGGAAAAATCTATGCCATTAAGTCATAGTGTGCCTCCAAACATTGTGTCAGTCTCTCCAAATATTAACGTTCCGGTTTCTGGAAATGTTAATGTGCCAGTCTTACCTGCATCACAACCAGTACCTCATTATCCTATGGCTGAAGCTAATTATGCATATGGTGCTCCTCCACCACCTATGTATCCTCCACCTATATTAACTACAGAATCGTACAATGCTTATCCCATGCCTCCACCAACATTTGGTCCACCTCTTGTTTATCCAGAAGAATCAAGCCCACCTATAAAAGTAGTTAAAAATATGCCAAAAGCAAAAAGAGTATGTAGCTTAAAAAGTGTTCCTATGGTCTCTGGTAATGATTTAATAACAGTTAAACAGCAAACTGCAGCGACAGGAAATGCTTCATCTACAGACTCTATAAAATCTCCCAAGAAGAATACGTTTCGTCCACAGAAGAGTGAAAGTGATCCTTCTTCTGTAAATGTGTTAATGGGAGCTTGTGTTGAAGAATATAAAACTCTTCTGAGAGAAAGAGAACATTATAAAAGAAAACTGAGGAAAACTTCTGATACCGTTGTTGAATTGAAGGATATCAGGAAAAATCTTGAAATTAAATATAAAAAATCAAAATTTTCATCAGATGTAAAAAAATTGTTATCTCAGTGCTCTGCATTGTATGAAAAGGCAAATGTAGAACTAAAGCGTGTTATTCGTAATGCTAGTAAAATAGGTGAGGACCTGATGCAAGTAAAGACGAGAGTTCCAATTGATCGTCAACAGGAAATTGAAGAAGAAATAAAGGTTAGTAAAATTAAAACAATGCTTAAAAATTAAAGGAATTACTGATAATGGAATTATATACTTGGGCTCACATATTTAAGTAAAACTGATTAAACTTGGGCAAATGTAAGCTGAAAACAAAAGATTATAGTACGAGTGATGTATATCTACCAATTAATGCATTCTTATAAAACACTTTTAAAAAGAAAGATGATCCAGCTAGAAGTTATCTTAAGCAGTGGGTCTCAAACTCGAATTGCATGTGGCCGAATGTATACATTAAAAACAGCTAAGTCTTTTTTAACAAAAATGAAGTTTTTTTAAACAAAACAAATTTTTTGAACTCCCTTTAAAATTTTATATAGTAAAGATTTATAAACAGTTATAATAATGATGCGAAGGAAAAAATTTCAATTTATTTTTTTGTCTGAAATCTGAAGGTTGGTAATTGAAAAAGATTCTGTTGGTTACACTTTGCAGTTTAAACATACTGATAGCTAAGTATTAAAATTTTCAGACCGACATTTGTTTAAATAATTTTAATATGCTAAATAAATATTGTTATTTAATTTGTTAAATAATTATAAAGAAATTATAAATATTTTCCAAATGGGGCAAAATTTGAAAACAAATAATGACAACCTCTTTCTTTTTTTAATTAACATGTCTTTGACCCATACAGAAAAAATAAATGTTTGTAAGTAAACAATTATAAAAATTTTTATTTCTTAACACAGCTATTTATTGTATCCATCTTTATTACGTATGATAACACTTCAGAGCCTTTCAGTTGTGATAAAGTTTTTAACTTTGGAGGGAAAAATACTATAACTATCTTCACCTGAGTTATAAATGTTCATGGGTTAATCTGGTTCTTTTTATAAAATTTAATTTTCAGCTGTGGAAAAACACTGTTCCAAAGTGAAATTCATTTATATATTCAAAATTGAATAAAAATTGTAACAGCCATTTTATTGCTAACAAGTATGTAAAATGTTTAGTCATATCTGGTACCTTCAGATCTTCAAGTAAGATTTATATCATAAGTACCTTAATTTCTAAATTTTCTGGGATGTTACTCGTGTTTGTAATGAATGAATGATTTTGAACTCAAAATGGTGATGTGTGAACTCAAAATCATTAAAATCTTAAACTTTTCTTTAAATTCTTGTCGTAAATTTTGCTACTTATGGAAAATTTATTCATGGACTACCAGTTTGAGACCATTGATCTAAAGGACTAAAAACAGATGATTTAAATGGTCTTTAAAATATATGCTTATTTAATTTGATAGAATTTCTTTATTAAATTGCATTTTGACTATCTAGATTTGAATTCATGCGAAGGCTATATTATTAGACATTATTTTAATTCATGCATATGCTAATTTTAGCGAAAACTTGGGTAAGCGGCACTTGGCGCAGTTTTTTCCGCCATTTTGAATCGCAAAAAATCACCATATCCTCTGGAGGAATTTTTTGACGCCAAGAGGAAAATAGCATCAAAAGGTGCTTTCCAAAAACTCCCTCTTCAGCCCAATCTAAGGGGAAAAGCTCTGCTGGAGAAAATTGCGTAAGGCAAAGTGTAGTATTTGCATTGAGATGGTAAACCGAACACATTGTAAATAATTAATTATTGTTGTGATTAAGTAAATCTACGTATTATTCTAAATGTCAAACAACAAAAAATCAGCGTTATATTTTCAAATTTTTCACAGAAATATACGTACATTTTCATGTTAGTATTTTATATTATGATATATATGTAACTCCAGCATTATTAACTTTTATACGTTTCTGTTTTAATTCTTACCATTAATTTGAATAATTATCTCTAATAATGGTTATATGTTTGAAAACATGTTCTGTATATAAATGCAGTAATGATCACGGAAATGCGATTGTATCACATATTGTAATTAATTTATTTAGAAAATAATTAAACAGTGAATTCAAAATGTCTGGGGACAAAGTTATGTGATCATCAGCACAAAGATTTATCTGCAAAGTCACGACACCCAACACAAAGTATCAACCATGTAGAAAGAAAATATCCCTTTCATTTTCCCTATCTTACTTAACATCTGAGCTAGCAATCTAAACTCTTCCAACTGTTTGATGCCTATCGCCCAAGTTTGCGAGCGCGGTTTCCGAAACTTTGCCAAGTACCAGTTATCCAAGTATCCCCTGATTTTATATTCATATTATAAAGTAGTCAACTTTTGGTTGATTGTTTTTCATCCATTTGCAGATCGATGATTTTGCTTCAATATTTTCTGGTATTCAATTCAAAAAATTGTTGTGTAATTTTAAAAGATTATGAATTAAAAGCTACATTGTGATATAAAGATATGCCATATTATCTAATTACTTTGCTTTTTCGGCTTACTGGGAATTAATGAATATGGGTTAGGTTATACCCCAAAGGACATTGGCCCAGAAGGGCTAATAAAAATTTTATTTTGGCATTTTGTGTTGAAAACTTTAAATGTCCGTTTAACTTTTCAAATTCTGCCACAAAATATTATCACCCTGTGTTATATTTAAAGAAATTAAGTAATGAAAATCTGCATAACTGTATGTATTTTTCTCTCATTGTGATAAAACGATGGTACCTAGAACCATCAAATTTTGAATAACATACATCTCCACCTGAATATGGGCATCTGGAAGCTCAAACTTAGAATTTGTTTTGTTATCTATTTCATATTTTGTAAAGCATTTATGAGTTTTTGATTAAGAAACTCAATTTTAAAGCAAGAATGGCAACACTATACGGAAAAAAAATATTTTTTCTCCAACGCGTGAGACTGTGTATCAGAAATTCTGAAGATGTGCGTTTTTAAAATTATTTTGTCATATAACTGTTAAATTTAATTTTATGGTTTAAGTGCGAAGAACAGGATGTTTAATAAATAAAGGTAATACACAAAATGTTAAAGAAAAGCCCTTTTGGGCGTGATATAAAATCTGAAAGCTCTCTTTTTTTTTTTCTTGTTCCTATGAGAATTTTAATTTCCGTTAATCCTTTATCAACAGATATTATGCATATCTGTCAAGTAGGAATGCATTAAAGCCAATGGGGGCAGGGTATGCATGGCAAAAGAAAACTGTGTGAAGTTTGAAATAAGTGGATAATATTGCGAGTATGTGATCAGTTCAAAATGATGTGAATGCAGAAAAGATAGTTGTAAAGAAAAAAAAAAAAAAGTTTCAATAAATCAATCAAATTAACATATTAGCATGTAAATATGTTAATAAAGTAAATAATTGGGTCTGGTAAAGATTAATTGGTAATTTTTTGCTTATGTATTAAAAAGGTGCATTTCATTCCCCTTTTTTTATTTATATGTTTAATTATTTGTGTTACTACTACTATTTTTATTTATTTATTCCATTTTTGCTTTATTCATAAAGGTTGATCTTTACATTATGGTAACTTGGCGATTTTTTGGCGAAAATTTGGCGACTAACTCTCTATTTTTTTTTCCCGCTGCCATTTTGTCTTCACGAAGTAAAGACATGTTTCTTTTCTTTTTTATCTACTGAACACTTCTTCCAATAATCTACTAGCCGAATTACACTTATGCTAGAAATTTTATCTAACAAAACTGCTTAATCATGACAAATATTCACTGCAAAATTGGGAAAAAGTGCACAATATCATACTCCTTACGCGTTTTTTAAAATAACACATGCACATAAACCATGTACACGTCGACTTATTTTTACTTAAAAAAAATCCCAGAATTACACAAAAATGGCATTGCGCACACTCTTCACCATATCCATGTACACTGCTTTTTTCTCATAAATTAGAAAAATTTCACGAAAATACATGACAATCTTCTGAATCTTTAAACCCAGTAAAAAGAACATATATGAAATTACCTGATCGCGAAAAAGTATATACCCTTTCCAAATATGAGCATTTCCACATATAAAATAAATAAAATATCCAAAAACTTTTACCTCTAAATCATCTATTATAAACATCACCAACGAATTCATACCGCAAGCATTACAAATACTTAGTGTCAAATATTTAAATTATTTCCATGCACGTTTACTTCAACTAAAACGTATACCAAATTCCTACAAACATAAAATTCACAAAATAACTATCATTTAATTAAAAAATATCATGAAACCATGTACACGTCGACTTATTTTTACTTAAAAAAAAAATCCCAGAATTGCACAAAAATGGCATTGCGCACACTCTTCCCCATATCCGTACACTCCTTTTTTCTCATAAATTAGAAAAATTTCATGAAAATGCATGACAATTTTCTGAATCTTTAAACCCGCTACAAAGAACATATATGAAATTACCTAATAACGAAAAAGTATATACCCTTTCCAAATATGAACATTTCCACGTATAAAATAAATAAAATATCCAAAAACTTTTACCTCTAAATTATCTATTATATTATAAACGTCACCAACGAATTCATGCCGCAAACATTACAAATACTTAGTGTCAAATATTTAAATTATTTCCATGCACGTTTACTTCAACTAAAACGTATACCAAATTCCTACAAACATAAAATTCACAAAATAACTAATTTAATTAAAATATAATTAAATTCAAAAACAGTACTTAAAATATAAATAAGCACATACATTAAATTAATAAAAATTAGATTACAATCCTAATTACTTTAAACTAAATCATTGCTAATAACAATTTTCCCAATAATACCAAATTACTTTACTTCCACCTTACATTTAGAACAATGCATCTTCTTCAGAATCTTGATTACGTGTCCGATAAACTTTTCTTATTTCTATTTCAGGATCTTTAAAATCATACTTATAGCTCACAGCAAGGTACCAGGTAAAATAAATAACTTAATAAAACATCTTTACTTCTATCTCGCACAACCTTAAAGAAACACTTATTACTACCCCTTTCAATCGCACTAAATACCCATTTCGAATTCACTTTAGTTAGGGCCATGGGATCCAAAAATTAACGAACACTGTTTCATACAACACAGAATAAAGCCAAATACAAAATTTCCAGAATTTTCCCGAGTTCCCCCCTTTTGCGATTAAAGAACCGTAATTCGTCCATTAATATCACATGACATATCCCATGATCTCTCATTTCCCTCACACAAAATAATGCATAATCGGAACTGAGTACTGCTCACATTATTACCAAAGTCCCAGGTAGTAACCTTTATCGCCTCCAAAATGTCGCCAAACTACCAGTTACCCTATTCTAAAGATCAGCCTTCATAAACTCAGTTTTTGCATAAAATTTTTCTTATCTTCCATATAGTATTTTTTAAAAATTCATAAAGTAAACCATATTTTTTTAGGTGCTAAATGTTCTGGGAAAGATATGCTTTTTTTCCATCGAGAGCTGCTTTTGCTTATACATTCATAAATCTTATTATTTTTCACGTATCTGTCTGTTACGATTTAGTATTTACATTATGGTTGATACTGAAAATGAAAAATTCTTAATTTTTGTGTGTTTAATTTGTTAGAAAGTACAAGATACAGTTGTTTCATCTGTGAAATATTCATGTTATGATACTGGAAATCATTGGTGCAATTTATGTAATGAACCATTTGCCACAATTTGTGCATTATTGGAGCACCTTCATAGTGATAAACATAAAGAGGTATTAATTTTCCACTTATGTTCTTTTAGCATTTACATTTATGAATTCTGTCTCGTATATGTGACGTGTGTATATATATACATATATATGTAAAAAAAAGACACATCTTGCATCATGTTTGGTTCATTATTGTAAAGTAGCAGTGTTATAAAATATAAGATTTTTAAAAGGACAATTTTTCTTTCACCATAAACATGCATTTTAGTAAATTGATTTTAATGATTTTTAATCACATTTTATTTTTCATATTTTTAAATTTATTTTTTAAACCTCTTTCTGTATATACTTAAAATTAAATTGCTATTATAATTATATGCAAAGAACTTTTGTGTGATGTACGAGGGCCATCCAGGAAGTAGATTACGTTTCCGTCTGTGTCCGCTAGGGGCGGGGCTAGTGCGGCCATCTTGGGGTCAGAGCGTTGCGCAGCTCAGTCTGCATCTAGCCGTGCTAGTGAGAGGTTCGTGCTGTGCTCCGTTCAGATACTGTGACGGTTTGAAATGTCTGCGTTAATTGAAAATCCCGCAAGCTGCGAGGTGCGCTCAGTAATAAGGTTTCTGACTGCAAAAAACTGTAAACCGATAGAAATCTATCGGCAGCTTCGTGAAGTGTATGGGGACAACATTATCACTGAAGGTGGAGTGCGTCAGTGGGTCATAAGATTTCAAAATGGCCGAACCAATGTTCACGACGAAGATCGAAGTGGGAGACCCAGCATAGTGACCGCCGAACTTCTCGAAAAAGTCGATGCTAAAGTCCGTGAAAATCGAAATTTCACAATAACGGAACTTTGAGTTTTCCACAAATTTCGCGAAGTTTGTTGCACGAAATCATCAGCGAAAAGCTTGGTTACCACAAGTTTTGTGCAAGATGGATTCCAAAAATCTTGACAGAGGACCACAAAAATCAGCGAATGGCTGCAGCGTTGAACTTTTTGGACGCTTACCATAAGGATGGTGACTCTTTACTCGATCGCATCGTTACTGGTGACGAAACATGGGTGAAACATGTGAACTGTGAAACGAAATTGCAATCAATGCAGTGGGGGCACACAAGTTCTCCCCAAAAACCCAAGAAATGCATGCAAACAATGTCGGCAAGGAAGATGATGGCGACTGTTTTTTGGGACAGAAAAGGTGTAATTTTGGTGGACTTCCTGGAAAGAGGCACTACAATAAACTCTCAAAGGTATTGCCAAACTCTCCAAAAACTCAGAAGAGCAATTCAAAACAAGCGCAGAGGAATGTTGAGCTCTAAGATCTTGTTGATTCACGACAACGCAACGCCCGGCCCCACACGGCAAATGTCACTCGTAAAGTTCTTGAATCTTTTAAGTGGGAGTTGTTTCCTCATCCGCCGTACAGTCCCGACCTGGCACCGAGCGACTTCCACCTATTCCCAGCAATGAAGAAGTGGCTGGCTATGCAGCGTTTTGATGATGACGCACAGCTGCAAGAAGAGGTAACGAAGTGGTTGAAGGCGCAGGCGGCCGAATTTTTCGACGAAGGAATTTCCAAGCTCGTACATCGCTACGATAAATGCCTTAATTTGTATGGTGACTATGTAGAAAAGTAGTATTTGAGTGTGGCTTTCATCTGTATATAATAAAATTTGTTTCCTATACTTTGTTTATTTTTTTATTCCAAAACGTAATCTACTTTCTGGATAGCCCTCGTATTTAAACCTTCAGTTATATAAGAGCGTGTCAGTTTATCATGTGCCCCAGAAGATTTCCAATTTCTATTTCTTTAAATTGATAGCAATTTGATTCTTTGATACCGATGCAAAAGTATTGCTGGGTAGACTTCCCAAGGAATGAACTCTTAAGGGAGAGTACAGTTGTCATACTTTGTTGTTCATCTGAAAAAAAGGCATTTCATTTTGTAAGAGTATTTATTTCATTTTGTACAAGTGGCCTAGCGGTGAAGTCGCTGAACACTGGTCCGAGGTTCAAATCCCACGAACGGGCTGGCTGCATGGGCCTTTTCGTGGTTTTCCCCATGTGTAACGTGCATACGAGCCAGTTTCCCTTAGAAAATCCTCCACGAAGGCATCTCTCTCCTTAGGCAGATAGCCCTCGTGTGCTTTGCCATAACTCAACACATCAACACCATTTTGTAAGATTAAAAAAACTAATAGAAATGTCAAGTATGTGAGCTTCGCCAAATGTGGACTATGGCGCAGAAACGCCACTGAAAGACCTTCCCCAAAATCGGAAGTTGAGAGCTAGTTTCACCAGTATATTCTGCTGTTGTACTAATGTGTAAAATTTACCTTTTATATTGTGTGTGTAATAAATAAAATCACATTATTGGGAAGCTAGTATCTTCATTTATTAATGATCGATAGACCATTATTTATGAATTATCAAGCTTTTCTAAGCCATGGAAATGGGTTTAAGGTAATGCCAGACAGCATGTGGCTGAAAAATTGAAAAGAAGCAGTGCGGAATTTGAAGGAAATGTTTTGCCTCTTTTTAGATTGTCATTAATACAGTTAAACCATGCCCTGCAATATATGGCAACTTTGAACTGTGAAGAAAAGAGGAAGGCTGGTTTATGTAAAGAAGTATGTGAAAACTGTAGTATTTACTAACTTATAACATCTTTAAAAAAACTGATTACTGCCTATGTTTCAGAGGATAACACATAATAGTAAATGTTTAGAATAAAAAGGCTACACATTTTCGTTAATAAATTTTTCATAGTAGCTCAAGATAACTAAACTTGCTGTATGTCTTAGGTATCATAAAATCATATAAATAAGAGCTTTTTGCTAGATATCAGCAACTTTAAATTGTAAATCGTGATTTAATGCTACTGCTCAAAATTTTATTTGTTATTAAGAATGGATATAACTTGGAGTCAATCAAGCAAAGTACAGGGAGTAATTTAAGTTCAGTTTGAAAGAAATATATTTGACTCACTGCTAATTCACTGGACTTAGGTTTGAATTCTTAAAAAAGAAAAAAAAAGTGTCTATGAAATTAATTTTAAATGGTTGCACAGATCTGTTGATTTAAAAATCATCTGAGGGGATGGTGTAAGAAAAAAGGTAATGACACTTATGGATTCCATCACCAAAAGTGTTCATTCGCAAAACTAGGACTGAAAGTAAGCCGTTAGCTAGTGCATTGCTTTGCATTAATAATATTATCATTCCAGTCCTTGTAGCCAGTTCCATGAAGCATACCAGAGAGCATCACTTTTTAATTGAAGGAATTAATAAATTTTGCTTTTTTAATGTTCTTTTTATAGTACAAAATAGGAAATTGATAAATGGTCATTGTGCATTTATGGTTATTGTTATTGGACATGATTATTGTTATTTATTGTGCCTTTATGGTTATTGATGGTTATTGTGTATTTTGTTCACTGCTGATGTCCATTAAAATTAAAACTGCATAAATTTCAAGATGCATGCAGGAAGTACCTCATTTGTAGTTAAAGTTTGAGAGACTGAATATTTATTATCAGTGGCTACTAAATGGTCATGTAAGGTATCCTTATTGCCTCAACATTTCATAGTTTGATAGCTTTAATGATTGGGGAGTAGAGCTCTTGTCTATGATCATAGTGTTATTTAAGCTGTAATATTAATGTTACTTCAGATCCATAAAGACCTCAGTCTATAAACTCTCAAAGTAATATTTTTGTGAACTAGATTTAAAAAATGCTAAACTAAATTTATTAAGTGGAGAAAATATAGTTAACTGAAATGAAGACGGTTGATTTAAAGCACATAAAGTTAGCAGAATACATACATATGTAATCACTCTCCATTTTTTGACATTTTTATAGAAGAGGGACTTCAGGCTCAGTATTCTGTAAATTTATGAATTTTATTCAAATTCTATACCAGTCTAAAACAAACTAATTTTGCGTTAAAAAGATTAATAGCATTTTTCTTTGTTTCATAGCAGGTCCTATAAGAAATAATATTTTACTAATAAATAATATAGAACATATGTTCAAGTGGTAGAAGATGTCAAAGCTATCAAATGCAGTGTGTGGAATAAGTTGAGAAGTGTGCATGTTTTAGCATAAGCAACTGTTAGAAATCGTGGATTATTAGTTAATAAGTGAGTTAGCATTTGATATGAAATCTTGAAGGTTCATCTGACTATATCTCATATACGTTACTTTAAAGGTTAAAATTGTCAGTAGTGTGAAAGACCCTTTATTTGATTCATATCTTAAGATAGAGCTATGGACTTCAGTATTCAAGCCGATACATCATAAAAGTTATTATTTTCTTCTGTTTGATCTGTGTCACAAATAGTAATGATGTATGCATTATTATTTCTTTCTTTTTTGTTTTATTAACTACCTGTATTAAAAATGAGTATATACAGTGAATTATATTCTCATGTAATATAAAATAACAGTATTTGTTTAGTTCATAGATCTGAACAGCTTGCCACCTTGGCAAACTGAGACATCAAAAGACTGTGCTTCAAATAAAGATGATAAAGAATGTATTCTCCAGCCTGTTAGAGGTAAATCAATTATTAATGTATTATAATATAAAATTTGTATACTTTCCACGTCAATGTAATCAGTTAATTTAGTTGGTCAGTTGGTGTTCAGTATTTTTTTTAATAGAGTTGGTACTTCAGATGTATGCTTTTCTTGAGTCAATAACTGGTTGTAGAGCTGTGTATTTCATATTGCTGTATAGGTAGTAGTAAACCAATGTAGAGCTTGTAAATTTTAATCTTATTCATTTGTGCTTTTTTTTAGATCTACCTAATATCAACGCCTATGTTTAGAATTGTGTGTCACATTTGAATGTTGCTTTTGATCGAAATAAAAATGTGTAACAAAAATTTCTTGCAGGGTACCACCTTTAAATTTCAAACAGAAATAAATGTAAATTTTAATTTTTCTATAGAACTATTATAATTGGCGTTGTTTATATATTTTTTTAATATTTAGTAACTGAAATTTGAAATTGAGTTAATTTTTTTTAAATGTGTTAAAAAACAATTTCAACTGCTCCAGATCATACACAGCTGCATACAATGTGACCATTTTCCTATGTGATCCTTCTGAGATATGAAAATTTTACCTTTTTGCCAACTAAATCAGGAATATAAAATTGTTACATTCTCTTTTTCCTGTCCCACTTTTACTACCGTAATTTCCGGAAGAAAGGCCGCATCAGCGTAAACACCGCACTCGAGAAAAATGGCGGGAAAAAAATTTAAATTACACAGAAACGCCGCAATAGATTAAATTGTGCGTGACATCGTCGTGGGCCGTATAGATGCAAAAACTCAACCTAAGTCCTGATATATGACATACCAGTTAAGAAAAATGCATGAAATGAAACCGTAACTCAAAAATAAAGGTAAGAAATGTGGAAAATATTATTTACCTTCACGTATATACTTATATTTACCCACTAAAGAAGTCCATATTTGCAATACTCAGACTATATTCTAAAAAATGTTGCAACAACAAAATATTAAATTTGGATGACAAAAGGAAATTTTAAATTTTACTTACGAATTACAGCAAACTATACATCATATGTAGCCATCAAAATCTGATTCTTCACTATCTGAATTAAAAAGATTTAGTAAATCCTGATCTAAGTCTTCCAGATCATCACATTCATCCTCTTGGTTTACAGTCTCTTTATCTGAGGATATAATTTCAGCGTCTTTGAACCGTGCTATTATTGACGATGTTTCTACCGATTTCCACGCACTTCCTGCCCACTTTGCAATTTCTTCATAAGATGCTCTATGCATTTTACCGCTTTTGGTTTATGTATGCAATCCTTCACGCATCCAACACTCCCACCGCTTTCGGACTTCAGCTTTGAAGGATTTATTACCTGACAAATCTAACGGTTGTAAGAGTTTTGTCAAACCACCAGGAATTATTGCTTCGGTTGTAGACAATTTTTGACATCTGGTTTCCACTGACTCAAAGAAATGAGCACGCATGGAATCCATTATCAATAACCCCTTTGGTTGGAAAAAAGATCCCATACGACACTGCCAAACCTTTTGTAGCCACTCATGCATGATTGTTTCGCACATCTAGCCATTCTTGTTTGCACAGATAATTACATCATTTAGAAAATCTCCCTTTGGAGTAGTCTTTCGTTTAAAAATGATCATCGGCTTTAGCTTGTCACCGTTTGCGGCACAAGCTAACACATATGTAAATGACGTTCTTTCATGCCCCGTCATAAACACAGATACAGTTTTTGCACCAATTTCATCAACAGTTCTGTTTGCAGGAGAGGCGAAAGCTAACGGCGTTTCATCCATATTTGTTATCTGTGACCGAAGAATTTTTTTTTTTTTTTTGTCAATAATAGCTGTCACACATTTTAGAAAAGATGACTTTTTATCCTGCCAGTCCATTGGTAATTGTTGCCTGACTGTTGTTCTAGTATGCACAGAAATATTTTTTCTTTTCATAAATCTGCTACACCTCTTTTGAAATCATTTATGTTCATTTGTTTTGCTATAAATTTTGCTTGTAAGTGAATTTTTACAGTCGAAATGGCCATTCCCTTTCCTCGTTGCTCCTTTATCCAGTTTGCAAGGTCGTCCTAAATTTGCCACCTTATAGTACCACTTCTTTTGGTTCGTTTCTGTTGTGGCATATTTTTAAGAAGTTCTTTTTCTGTTCTCCAACATCGAATACATCTGTCGTCCACTTCAAACTCTCGAGCTGCTGTTCGATTTCCAATTTGTTCAGCACGTGAAATTACATTAAGCTTAAAACCAGCAGTATAGCTTCTGTGCCATTTAGGGACATTTTCAAAAATTTTTCTCTCCCTTCTTACTTAAAAACTATCCAACAAGTACTTGTACCCAAACTGATGAGATCTGTATCTGGCAGAATGCCAAGAAAAATCCATTCATGCTGAAGGGGAAATATGTCAGAGTTTGTTACTGCGAGGCAGGTGGAGTCGTGTCCGGCTTTGAAAAAAATTGCAGAAAAGGCAGGGGTGGGGAGAGGATGGGTCCTGGAAGATTCATCGAATGGCAGAGGAGAGAGACTATTGAAACTGATGAGAATGTTGATTTGAAAGGGGGAAGAATGTTATTGTTCTGAGGTCTCGTTTAGGGTGAATAAGGCATGTAGGTCTGTTCAAGGGAAAGAATGTAAACAAAATAACGTTCGCAAAAAGCAACCGAGTGATCTTTTGTGTGGGAACAGCACCAGTCTATGCACAATGACAAGGCCATCCAAACTATGTACAATGACCATCATAGGAAATATTTTATTTTTAGTGCACCTAAACGCCGCATCCGCTGAAAATTTAAGTTTTAAACACGTAAATGCCGCGGCGTTTCTTCTGGAAATTACGGTATATGCCTGTGATAATTTATTTTTAATGTAAAGTTGTTTTTGTATAAAAGTGATGTGACTAACTTGGCTTTCATTAAAACTTTTGTTATTTTTTGGTATACAGTGCAAAGTCTTTAATCTGGATGTCCATAATCCTGAATGATCTATAATCCGGACCTCAAAGCTACAAACTTTCTTGTGTAAACGCATAATACCTTTATGCATGTGCATATGCATTTAATGTATAATGGACTGCATAAGCTAGGCTAAAATTATTTAATTATCTGTTTCAGTTGCTGTTGCAGCTTGCGTTGTTCCTTAATCTTCTAATTGGATCCGGCTTATTATGTTTTGCAGACTGTTAGAGAAATTTTATAAAAAGTAAGCTTGAACTTTCGTTTATGTCAAAAAGAGTTTCCTGTTCTGGAGCTGGCAAAGGATCTACAAAGCGAAAGCATATAGTGAAGAAAGTGACAGAGAGGTTATTGAAAATGAAAAAAATTCAATTGACAAGTTAGTCTGTATTCTCAACACAGCAATTACAGGGCTTGAACAGCGGAACTTTGTAACTGAACAAGAAATTATGTCTGTTTATAGAATTAAAGAGAAAGTATTAGCACATAAAACGAAGCAACTTAAATAACTTACATTGAAAGAAATGTTTAATAAAGTAAACAAATAAATAAGCTTTTGTTTTTTGGAAATTTTGATACCCTTTAGATCATAATTGCTCTTTATTTCATAAATTACGGTTTCATATTTTTAATTTTATAATTTCTGCATGCCATCTTACCAGATTTAAACTGATGATCTATAATCTGCAAAAACCCCTAATCCGGAATCGCCGAAGTCCCTACGAATCCGGATTAAATACTTTGTACTGTATTATATTTACATTTATTTCCTATGTTAGGTGTTGAGTTCCTATCTCCTGTGACTGGATTTTATTGTTCACTCTGCCAAGAAACTATTCCTGATCGGAAATATGCAGAAACACATGTTAAAAGCCATGAACATACTGCTAAGTATATGGTTTGTATTGAGAATAGATTTTATTTCATTTTAAACTTAGTGAAATTAAAACTGTATGCATATATCTTATTCTAAAATACTAGCTATCAGTAATAATTTTATTTGTGTTGATTCTGGATAGTAAAGTACTGTCTAAAAATTTAATGCAAGATCTCATAGAATCACATTTTTTTATGAATGAAACTAAAGCTATTAAATTTAGCTTCTGAGGAGAAAAGTAAAATGATTCTTGATATAATTATTGTTCGGTTCTTTAAAATCTCAGAAATGCAATTTATTTCATTTTGTGAAATGCTGTCCTGTGGAAACCCTACTTAGACTTATAAGCAAGTTATCACTCTGTATGTGAAAGCATAAGACTGCTTTAAGAAGTTTCAAGTAGCTTTTTTGTTAAAGCTTGATCATGACAAAATTCCCAACCTGTACACATAAATTGAAACTCCACCACCTGTAAGTTGTAGATAATAGAAACTTAACTTACAAATTCAAATGGATTTGTATCCAGAGTTTGCAATATAAATAGCCTAACTAGGCATTGGCTCAAAATTCTATATGCACGAATCAAAATGGCTAATGTCAGAATATGAAATTGTCAGAGCAAAAAGAGTACAACTGCAAGTATAAGTGTCAAAAGCTGCGTATAGAAAACTTTCAAAATCCTCTCTTTAAATAGTCGCAGCTCATTTGCATCCTGTTGAGATTTAATGAAAAGGAAAAATTGCAGTGTATATCTAATTTTAATAAACTGTACAATTTGATAAAATTAATATGCATATAAAAATGTAATAAAACATCAGTTGGTTTGTATATATATTTGTTGAATAAATGTTGATTTGTGCCAGTTGTACTGGGGAACAGCAGTTTCGTTGTCTAGATCTGTCACTTATTTTTGATTAACTTTTTCCGCTGAATCCAAAAATAACATCTGTTTTTGTTTGTCATTTCAGATATTTAAGCTGTAGGATACCCTCCTCTTTGTTTCAAAAGTCACATAAAATATGCATATAAAAGAAAATAAAGAGGAAACTTACCAAATAATTCAAAAAAAATAGTTTCATTTATACAGAGGTTAAATACAGTCACTGCAAATTAAATTTTGTTATACAAATAGTAAAGTTTTTTTTTTTTTTTTAACAAATGGTAAATATACTTATTAAGGTAAAAATTTTCGCATATGCCCTTTTCTGGAATGTTTAATCTGTGGACATTCTCGCTTGATGCTCCAACAATAGTCAACCATCATATATGCACTGCACAACCAAAAAAGGACGGGACAGTTGTATATCTCCTGTTCTACTGGGCCGATTGACGAAATTCAAATTGCTGTTTTATGTCTCGAAAGTGCGACTTAAGATATGTATTAGATTTATATATAGCATTGATCTAATATCGAGGTATTTTGACACAAAATGTGCCTTTTTCTGAAATCACATACCAATTTTTTATCATATTTCAATTCTATGACTTAAAATTATGCCAAACTGTGAAGTTTTGTGAAAATTGCACGAGTAGTTTTTAAAAAATTAGCTCATCAATGTTAATTGAGTTTAATATATATCTATTATCTCTTTTTTATTAAACTTACTTGATTCCTTCTTCCAAAATTTGAAATTTAGGCTTAATCCAAATATAATTCGCACATTTTTTTATGATTTATTTTAAAACATTTTTTATATTATAACCTATAAAATTTTTAACATCATCTTAAAGTAAATGTATTTCTAGACACACCTGCAAAAGATTAGAGTTTTTTATTCAAAATTTTCTAAGATATACATGAATTTTCATATTGGAGGGTTTCGAAATTTGGCATCTCTTTTGAGCGATAACAACGCCAAACGATAATGCGCACTTTGTTAAAATTATTTGAAAGTATGGACAATGACTTTTTCCCCCTCTCATCTATAATGAAAAAAAGAAAGGAAAATAGGTTGCTATAAATTAAGTAGTTTGCCAAGTAAATTATTCTTGACGAAAACTGAAAAATATATGGCAAGATATTTTTAATTTCTCCATAAATTTGGCATCAAATTTTATAAAATTTAATATTTAGGCATAATTTGAGTCATAGAATCGAAATATGGAAACGAATTGGCATGTCATTTCAGAAAAAGTCTGATTTTGTTTCAGAATACGTATGTTAGAATGATGCTATATATAAATATAATATATGTCCTAAGTCGTGCTTTCAAGACATGAAAAACGCAATTTTGATTTTGTCAATTGGCCCAGTAGAACGAGAAATATAGGAGTGCCTCCCTTTTTTTTTCTGCAGTGTACATTCTATCTGCCTTCTTACTGTGCCTCCAGGACCTTCAAACCTTGGTGGAATAGTTTACCCTGCTTATCACTGACTGCACAAAGATTTTTCAGGAAGTTATCAAAATAGTTATGTAAAAGGTGCAGTTTGATGCTCGTATTGCAGCCAAGCATTTCGAAGCTTTCTAGAAGTTGGACAATTTTTCTGTAATTTTGTGCTTGTGTGTTTCTAACAAAGTCTTTGACAGTGTTTGTGAATGCCAGCCAAGCATATTTTGACGTTCTGTTTTTGTTCTAATGAAATGTTAATCTTTAAGGAGTTGCCAAATCTGTGGATCATCGAACAGACTAGTCTTTATCTTTTCAAATAACAGGCTAGAGATTGTCGAAATGAGATACTTGGAAAAGTCTTCTTCATTTGGCAAAGCTTTAATAAATTGTTTCATGAGACCCAGTTTTATATGCGGAAGTGGAAATAATAAGATTCTGTCATCAACTGGCTGATCTAGAATGTTTGAATCACCAGGCTTCAGGTCAAATCGTGGTGGCCATTTCGACAGCACCCAGTGCTTCTCACAAGCTCTGCTGTCCCACGTACACAAAAAACATGCATACTTGGTATATCCACGTTGCTGGTTACGGAAGAAACAGATGATTTCATGTCAACACACGATTCATTGGTGCATGTGGTATTGCAACAAATCAGTGACTCTCTTTATGTTTTTATTCATCACACAAACAAATCGAATGGCCTGTTGGGACTGCACCAAAATTTCCATTGTGAAAGAGGACACACTTCAAGCTTCGCTTTGAGCTAGCGGTGAACAATCACCACTGAGTTATGCTATAGGCTAAAATTCCCAGCTCTTTTGAGGAAGTTTTTCTTGTGCAATCTTGATGCTAACTGCTCTGAAGCATTTTTGGACAGTCCCAAATCTCATATCAAATCATTAAACTCATGCTAGTCAAATCCCATGCAAATGGAGTCAATCAGCTGCAATTTCAAAATCTTTGTTGTTGAGGTCTATTTGATTTTCACTAGAATCATATTCCTGTATTTCCAAAAAGTGTATATAGGGTAATTCTTTTTGAATTGCATGATCTTTGAGCTCTTATAAAATCATGGGTATGCGAAATGAAAATTTAGAATGTGTTTCCTTCAACCACACCTGTAAACTCTCGACACACTGCTTGTATGTTTTCTTAGGGGACCATGACTTATTTTGATCAACAGTTTTCACTTTAAAATAAGTAAAAGAAGCTTGCCCGACAAAGGTACTGATGTTTGTCCTTCGACTGAGAATGGTAAAACTGTCACACACACACACTCATATATATATAAAGAATCGGGGCTGCTTAAGCACTTATGGCATAAATTAGAAGAGGCAGACATAAGGTGAGGTTTTAGTTCATGTATAAATAAAAAATAAACATTGCTAACCCAGTATATAAACAAGAACTTAAAACTCCATCTTGAAATGCAATTTACTATATCAGAGCAACACATGTTGTCTCACTACAGTAGCTCAGGTTAACTGAACTAGTCTAAACAAGTATGCACCTGTCACTGGTCTCCCATGGTGTCAGTCACCAGTGCTAATCAGAGAATTTACATCAGCCAACAGAAGAGCAGTAGTACTTCCTGTGATCCATGCTCACTGCTGCTGAGAGTGGTCACATTCACATAAGATTTAGAGAAAAAACTTGATGTGAAGCATGTCTGTTTAAAACAGCTCAAAAATCAAACTCGATAGAAATTATGTTAAAAAATTTTCCCTGGAACTGAATAATAAAAAAAAATGTTGTTCATACTTCTTAGTATATATTCTGAGACACTTTCTGTGTGTTTTCCATCTTTCTCACAATAAAAGTGCTAATACCCTTCCTTTATTTTTTAGAATCTCCTTAAAGAAAACTCGTTCTATGAAAAGCTACATGATCTTAAAAAAGAAATTGGTCTTTTACAAGAAAAAAGAAAAAGAGAAGACGGAAAGCAAATATATATCGTTAAACGTCAAAGAACAGAAGCAGACAGCAACAAAAAAAATAGCCTTCAGGTGCAAAAAACTCATCAGAAAGTGGCTGAAGAATTAGAAGAAGCATCTGATGAGTCGGAGATTTCTCATAAAAGTCTAAAATCATCTGGCATAAAACTGAATTTAAACAAGTTGCCTAAAGAAAGATTAGTGAAAGAGAAAGAATCAGAATCTAAAGCAAAGCCACAGTTCGTTTATATTGGAAGAGCTCCAAATTTCAAGCCAAAAGTAAAACCAGTGGCAAAGAATCTTCCATTGCAAAATTCCTCTAAATTGGAAAAGGATGATAGTGTTGTAAGCTCAGTAAAATCTTGTGAAAGTAATACCTCTGCAGAAGCTTCAGAAAAATCTAGCGAAAAGAATAACCCTGGACAAGCATTGATAAAATCTGAAGTAAAGAATACTTCTATTCAAAACCCAGAAAAAGGTTCTAATAAATCAAATTTGCCTGTAAAAAAAGCTTCTGATGACAAAAAATTATGTATATCTGAAGAAAAGATGTGCAATAAATCAACTAATGGGTCAAATACTAGCAGTTCAGCATCTGTCTCAAAAGCATCTGATGCTTTTGTCTTTGCCGTTCCAAAACCTGTACCTCTTAAACCTCAGATGAAGAAAAAAAAGGACAATTTAATTGTTTCTGGTTGTCAGCAAGAATTTGAAATGAAGAAAGAGAAACCATGTAATAATAAATCGTCAACTGCATCTAAAAACCAAAAGAATGATGAAAAACAACAAAAATCAGCTCTTGAAAATAAAAACCAAGATCCAGTGATAGCACGTGCTATAAAAAACATACTATATGGCAATGATAAAACAACTTCAAAGAAATCTGAAATAAAAATATTTCCACAACCTCCTAAACCAGTATCTTCACCTCAACCAAAAGTTGAAAATTTAACGAGAGCTGCTGCTCCATTAACAGAAGAAGAAAAAGATTTTCTTCTTTTGGGTATTAACAAAGCTGATATGTTACCCATTGCTGTTCCAAGACCTCCTCCATTAGCTTTAATGCAAAACACAATTAAACAAACCTCTTCTGCTTCTCCAGCAGTAGTATCTCAACAAACACAAAGTCAGACTATTCCATCAAATACTACATCATCAGCATTTTTACCTGCTCAGCCAGCGTTAATTCAACAGACTCAAGCTCAAGTTGTAAACTCAAACAATTTTGCACCATCCACTTTTTCATCTCCACCACCAGTAGCTCAAAGTAGTAATTATATGCCATCAGCATTCTCAGCCACCCTGCCAGCAACACCAACTCAGAATTTTAGTACAACTAATTACATTTCACCTTCTTTTCCAGCTGCAGAAACAGGACAGAATGCAGTAGAAACTTCTGGAACTATCTTACCTCTTGAAAATATTGAAACTATAAAAGCCACCATTCCACCTTTTCCTCCACCGCTTCAAGTGCCTCCACCTCTTCACCACCTCCAGTTGAGAATATAGAAAATTTAAAGCCTAAGGTTACTATACCACCTTTTCCCCCTCCTCTCCAAGTACCACCTCCGAATATTATTTTGCAGTATAATAAATCTACTACACCTGTAGATCCACTTCCACAGACTACAGCTGTTAACAATTTAAGTCCCAGTAGTCCAGTCAACAGAGTACCAATTGTAACCAGCACATCTCCTGAAGTAAGTTTTCAGCGACCTAGAGGACCTCCGATCAGAATTCCCTTATTGCCAACCCCAGATGATCTCAGGAAAGCTGAAAGTAATACAAGGAAAAGCCCCTTATTACCAATTCCACCTCTTGATCCTAGAAGAACTGAAAATAATACTCCATGCAGCTCTGCTGATTATTTGCATAAAAATGGAGCCATTCATCCGTCAGACAATTTTAAAAAGGAAAATTATAATCTAAATGGAGGAGATGATCGATTTCATAGGAGACTTACTGTTGAAAAGAATAATTTAATTTATCCAGAGCAAGCAGTCTCTTTACTCGAAAGTCATACTAAACAGGACAATAATCAAAAGTATGTTGATAATTTGGCACAAAATATTACTGAGAGTGTATCAGAACCAAGTCATGCTGAACATAGTATATTAGAAATTGCTTGCAGGGATATTTTAGAGCTAATTATAAATATAGCAACTGATGTTTTTGATAAAAATGCATCAACTTGTGATATCAGTTCTCCTAGTATTAATTCTGATACCAAATCTCAAGAGAATGCAGATGTCCAAAATACAGCATCTTGTGTTTTGTTAAGTACTGAAAGCAATGCACCTGTGTCTCAGATGAATGCAGATGTCCAAGATGTAACATTTAGTATAGTTATTGATAGCAGTACATCTGAATCTCAGCTGAAGGCAGATGACCAAGATATAACTTCTAATTCTTCAGTAAATTCTGATAGCATTGCATCCATATCTCTTTTGAGTACAGTTAAACCAGATACCACACCTAGTATTGATAACAGCACATCTGATATTAAACCTGTAGTTGAAGATAAATGTACATTTAATGTTTTTGGATCACTTGGTGAATCTCATCATTCCAGTTTTAATACAGTGGAAGAAAATTCTTTTCGTGAAAGAAGTAAGGTAAAAGAACATGCAGAAATAAGTATTTCTCCTTCTGTAAATTTGGAAAGTAATGCAGCTAAATCTCAGTATGATGAAAATTCTACTTCTTGTTTGATGGTTGATTCAAATGCTCAAAGTGATCTACAGAGCTCTAATTTGCTATCCTGTGCAAAAGAGCCTTTGTCCACAGTATTAACAAGCAGTGAACATAATAAGGGGCAGAATTCTGTGATAAAAGAATCTGCCTTTGAAGGCAGTGCAAATGTACTAAGCAGTGGGTTAGACAATGCATCTGTAAGTTCTGAAGTATTTAAATCTAGTGATGAACATATATCAGGTGATAAGATGAAGCTTCTTCAAATGTCTGAAATAAAAGAAGCCATTAATGAAATAACTGCTGAAAAAGACAAGCCTGAAAATTCCATTGACTTTAAACCTGTTGGCGAGTTTTGTGCTTACTTGCAAAATGCTGAGTCTCAAGATTTTAATGACCAGAAATCTGCTAATGAGCTGTCTTCTAATTTACAAAATGTGGAGCTTGAAGATGCTGATAACTATAGATCTACAGATAATCTGTCTGCTCATTTGAAAATTAATGAATCTGAAGTGTCATTCTGCGATTCTTCTGCAGATTTAAAGGCTGCATTATCGGTTAGAATTGAAAACCCTGTAAAGGAATTTTCTATCAAGCCATGCACTGTTTTAGTGGAAGGTACGACAAATAGTGGGCATATCACTGATTCTAAAATTCAAAGCTCTTGTTTAGAACTATCTTCGGAATCACCTTCAGACTTGGTAAATAGTGAACTGCAACAATCTGAAGCTCAAGATTTGGATAGTGGGAAAGACAGTGGCAGTGTAACAAAAGATAAGATCGAAGCTGGTCTTGAAAGCTTAGAAATGAATATATCTGCTAAGTATGTGGAACCTATGGAAGGTGTTGAAGAATGTGTTTTACTTAAAAGTACTGTTGGTGAAGAGACTGCTGTAAATATCTCTGCAAATATATCAGTAACTGACTTAGAAGTTATGAAATCTGATTGTGATTTTGTAAATGCAGCAGAAGATAAGGTAGGTATAGAGCCTGCAATTTCTAACATTGAGATGTCTGAAAAGAAACAACCAGTGAACATACCAGTAAATATTGCAATTTCTGGTTCTCAAATTTCTGAAGCAGAAGAGTCAGCTAATAATTCTGAAAATTCTGTGATAAATGAATCAATCACTCCATCTGAAAATTTAAACACCTGTGATTTGCCTGCTGACTTCCCATACTTACAAACAGGTAGCCTAGCTGCTAGATCTCAAAATTCTGAAGTGATTGGTTCTTCTGCTGAAAATTCTGGAAATCTAAGTAACACTAAGTTGGATATTAAACCTCAGGATTCTCACATGCCAGATATTCATTGTCAGGTTTCTAAAATGAAATCATCTATTGATTCTATGAATGTAAAAACTGATTTAGCTTTTGAAGTTCAAATTACTAGTGTGGATAATCCAAGAAATGATTATTTTGGCAGTAAATCAGATATTAGTCTGGTGGTTTCTGAAGTAAGAGAGATGGTTATAAAAGGTATGTCAAGTGTGGAAAAAGATACCAGCTCCGAGAATGTGAATGTAGCGAAATCTGCTAGTTCAAAATGTGTAGGCTTTGAACAGACTGACTACCCTGAAGATTTCAAACCCGAGCAATCTGAATGTTATTCGAATTTAACTTCTGAAGTTGAATTTGTTAGTGTCACTCCAAGCATATGTGTATCACCTGTACCGTCTTTGCAAAAATTTGATGTTGATGACTCATTTCAAAGTAATTTGGATGATGAGCCTCCAGGTAAATATTCAGTTATGATGATTTAAATTGCCTTACCACACATGTATTTAAATGTATTACTTTGTGTCTTTAAATAGAGCTTGTTAAAAACATAGTCTGATCGATGATCAATGCATTTATACAGTACAAAGTCTGGAATTCGGACGTCCATTATCCAGAATGATCTAAAATCCGGACTTCAAAACCACCAACAAGATTTTCTCGTAGGCTTTACACATGCGCATTTAATTCCCCCCCTCTGCGCATAATAAAACATCTGGAGAGTCCCGATTCTTAATTTCACTTCGACACTAAAAAAAAAATACCTTGCTATTGAAGAAACAATCATTAATTTGTACGATCAGTAATTTGGCTCCATTGCTACTTATTTCCTTGGCACACATCTCAAACCGAAACATTCCACATAGATACATCGTTGATTTGACGCCAACCTGGTGAATCATTATTTATTATACTTTCCTTTCATCACCGCATGTTTATCAAAGCATCACAACTTGAGTAATGACTCATGTAGCGATGCCTAAACATTTTTTTTTTTTTTTTTTTTTTTTTTTTTTTTTTTTTTTTTAATGTTAGTAAATAAATAATAAAGGAGTATGGTAACCTTTTATGCTGATATTTTGCTTGGTGATGATTACAGATTTAAGTTAAATGTGCTAAAAAATGTTGACGAGGAAACATTTACCAAAAATTTCTTTCCATATGCTAAAAATAGATTTTGTTGATGATACTCATAGACCCAAAGATTACATTTAGGGCTGTTTGAAATAAGAATAACTGATTTGTTTATTCACATAAACCCAGAACCAGCACCAGGGCTCGTATAGCCGCACCGGCAAAGAATGGCACCGGATCGCAGAATTTAGGACAGACAGAGACTGCATCAGGCAGTAAGATATCTAGCATCAGGCTTTAATTAGATTTAAGTATATGTGGAAATTTATTTATTCAAATCTCTGATAAGCCTTAACCATGTGCAAGAAATAGACATAAGTATAATAAATAACTAAAGTAATACAAATCATTCTTAATTGTCTCAGTGCGCGATAGAAGCAAGATAAAATTTAACAGAACAACTTGTCATTAATCACCAAGCTCATAATGCATAGTCAAATATGTATAGTGAAGGATAGCTAAATTTGATGATGATGGCCGCCAATTTTAAAAGTTTTCGGATATCGCAAAACAAAGGTGAAATATTCCAATTAACGGATTTTGTAAAAAAATGTGGAGAAAAGGTAATAAATGAAGATGCTATAAAAGAAGTTTTTCATTGTGATGACAATGCTTCTCAATCATCAATCAATTAATGAATGGCAAAATCTGCAGTAGGGTTCTAGATCCAGAAAATACTGCTATCGATAGTGAAGAAAGTGACAGAGAAGTTACTGAAAACGAGAAAATTTCGATTGACAAGTTTAGTCGGCATTCTCGAAACAGCAGTTACAGGACTTCAACAATGTAACTAAACAAGAGATTATGTCTGTCTACAGAATTAAAGAGAAAGTATTAGCACAAAAAAAAGAAGCAACTTAAACAACTTCCGTTGAAAGAAATGTTTAATAAGATAAACAAATAAATAGTAAGCCTTTTTTTTTTTTTTTTTTTTTTTTTTTTTGTAAATTTTGATACCCTTCAGATCATAAATACTTCATTATTTCATAAATCATGATTTCATATTTTTAATTTTATAATTTCTGCATGCCATCGTAGTAGATTTAAACTGATGAATCGCCGAAATCCCTACGAGTACGGATTTCGGACTTTGCACTGCATAAACATGGTTTAAGATTTTTAATGTTCATTTCATGAAATATGTTGTCCCTAATGTCTGAGGAATGGCATAATGCTGTTTTGACAAAAATGACAAGGCACATGCCATTTTATGTACCTTGGAAAGATGCCAAGGAATTTGCCATGCACATGTCTTTCAGAATCTCGACTGTGCTGTTACTTATTTTTTAGTGTGCTGTTTTCAAAACAGTCATACGAGGGTTGGAACTTTAATAGTGGCAACTATTTATTTACAAGGAATACAAAAGTGATTCATGTCACCATGTTTTACAGTCCTTCAATATAGTCGCCAGCATTGTGTACAACCCGTTTCCAACGATGTGGAAGTCACAGAATACCTGCAGCAGCGCCTGTTTTGTTCATAGTTTGAATGGACCGGTCTACTGCCGCAAGAATCTCAGGAACAGTTTGGAAGCGAGTGCCACGAAGTGGTTCCTTCATCTTAGGAATTAAGTCATAGTCACAAGGGCTTAGATCTGGGGAGTATAGTGGATGGTAAAGCACTTCTCAGCCCCATCGCTTGAACAAATCAGTCACAGCTTGCACTGCATGCAGCCGAGCATTGTCATGCAAAATGAAAGGAGCATTCTGCAGAAAGTGTCGCCGTTTTTTTCTCAAAGCTGGTCAGAGATTGTGCTCCAAAAATGAACAGTAACACTGCACAGTGACGGTCTGCTGTGGGGGGAATGGTATGCGTTAGGATGACACCATCACAGTCGTACACGAGAATCACCATAACTTTCACATTGCTGGGGTTCTGACGAAATTTTGAACGTCGTGGTGACCCGTGATGACGCCATTCGTTTGATTGGTGTTTCAGTTCTGGCTGGTACGATCGGGCCCAAGTCTCATCCAGCGTAATGATACGGCGTACAAAAGCATCTCCTTCGCGCTCATAGTGCTCCAGGTGAGTTCGGGCGGCATCTTATTGTAGCCATTTCTGCATTTCCGTCAATTGATGTGGAACCCATCATGAAGCAATTTTTCTCCTGGACAGGCATTCCTTCAGAATGTGCTGCACAGTCGTATGTGCTAATCGTGTTTGTCCGGCCAGCTGACAAATCGTTTGGCGGCAATCACTGTCCATTAGTGCGACAACAGCTTGCACGTTTGCTTCGCTGACACTCGGACGACTTGGCCGCAGCATGTCTGCCACTTTTGGTGTCCTTCATTGAATGCTTTCACCCATCTTGCTACGGTTCTGTAAGGCAATGCAGATTCCCCGCAAGCCTCTTGAAGCCCTTGATGACACTGTCGTACTGTACGACCTCTGGCACATTCAATTTTTATCCAACATTGTTGTTCTTGTTTTGAAAACATCCTGACAACATTTATTTTAGACCGCGAGATAATACAAGGATCCGTTCTTCGCGTCACTCCGCATGCGCGTGACGTAGGCAGGACGAGTCTTTTTGCTGAGAGGTAAGGTAGGTATGTAGTTTACGTGTTGTATACGCGATATTCTTTGCGTAGCGTTTTTTCAGCTGTGTTGCCACTATTAAAGTTCCAACCCTCGTACATTTACTAGTTCTCATTCAAGTGTTCTGCAATGCTGCATTTCACAAGAAACATTTTTGCTGCGGATTTTGAAGTGACAGCTACCTGACATGAAAATTGTTTGAAATCGAAACAAAACCAGAATAAGAGAATAAGGTGCATGGCATGAGATGTGTTTTTTACCTTTTAATTAAATCTTAAATAAATATATATGTTATATTTTAGCAGTTGTGGTGAAGCTTGGCATCAAAGTTCAGGCATGGTTTTTGCAGAGTGGCAAGGGAAAATCCAATGAAGACACGAAAATGATTTAGCTTTTAACTGTGCAACTTTATTCTATATCTTTAATTCAATTATCACTGTATATTATTTATTCATTACTAAATAAGAATATTTCAACTTTAATGCATCATAACTTATTCTAACTAAGAAAGAAAGATGAGCAGCATAGGTCCTAGCAGCACAGAGAAAGAGAAGCATCTGACACAAAATGGCGCGCATTCGTTATTTATAGTAGCGATTACATAATAGGCTAGCAAACTCTAGAAGGTACTGGTCTAGGGGGAAGATCCTAAATTGCAGAAAATTAATTGAAGGTTGCTTGTTCACGAAGAGCAAAGCCATCATATTTTTTTATATTTTACACATATATATAATAATTTACTGAAGAAATATTGATTATATAATATTATCTCCTAATATAAATTTAATAGAATGTATCAAAATGAGGGAACCCAGAAGTAGGAAGTTTAATTTCGAAAATTGTTTTTTAAGAGGAACTTGAATGTAAATCATGAAAAAAACTTAAGGGGACTTGAATTTAAATCATGAATAACAAAATTTCAAATTTCGAAAAAGAAATTAAATAAACCAAGTAATTATCATCATTGACCAGAAATCAGTTGACTTTTCAAGGGGAACAAACAAACTTACGTTCAATGAACAATAATTAATAAATGCAAAAGTGTTTCGTCTTTTACTCAAGTAAGAATGATGCCAAAGTTAGGCGAAAATTGTAGTTCTTTCAAGTGATTGGATTTTTAGAAAACTTGAGACACTAAAGCCAAATTAGAGTAGCAACTCATTCTGAATGAAACATTTTCGCTATTATAACAGATTCTTTAGAAATTTTGAGTGAAAAGCCAAATTATGTAGTAGTGCACTGCGAACGCGTAGCATCATTGGGAGAAGTGCATATGCAGACGGACGACTGTTCACACTACTGCATTGGTGGTCAGTTGCATTTATTGTCACCACATGTCTCTGTATTTAACTTACAGGAGTCGGAGTCTTAAAATACTCAAATTAAATTTTATTGGAAATTTTTATTTCTGCTTATGAACTAGGAAGGAGGCCCGCTGGCGCAGTGGCTAGCGCATCACACAGCAGCACCACAGGTCTGAGGTTCGATTCCCAGGCTGGGCAAGGTCGACTAAGCCTTTCATCCCTTGATTTCCATCCTTTGGGTCGATAAAATGAGTACCAAGTTTGCTTGCGGACTAAACACTGGGGATCCTGCAACAAGCTGACCACTTGTTCAGGGCACTTGCTTATGCACACCGGGGCCCACGGTCAAGAAAGCAGATTTCGGAGCACTGCAGGCATTGGCCCGTTAGGGCTGTTATGCCATTGAGTTTTTTTTTTTTTTTAGTTTATGAACTGTGAAAAGCACTATGTAAAGCACGTTAACAATTTTTAGATCAGTAAGG